ATAAAATATATTTGGGACAATAATAATAACTAATTTAAAAATCAGCATGTTTAGTACATTTTACCTTGTATTTGATAAACAATTCATCAACACTAATTCCAGTACAATATTTATTTTTATAAATTTTTATATTTATTATTAAGTGTGTATTATTATACCAGATGGACATTATTGGTAATTTTTTAATTAATGTTAGTTTTAATAATTTACGTTATATCGTAATATTTAGTTTATTATTAATATTGATTAACCATTTAGTTATTTAATGTCAAATACATTATTGATACAACCGCTAATAATACATAAAATATTATATCAATTAAAATTTATTATAAAACATACAATAATTAGTTTAATTTAGATTCTTACGTAAAATTTGAAACTTGCAAAATATTTATGATAATTAGTCACTTATAACGCACAAGTAGTCACACTAAATATAACTTATTTTTAAGCAAACCAGTCATGTTTTTCATATATATTGCAGTAAGAGTCAATTGTGTATTTTCACCACAAATATAACACTCATAAGCAAATAGACATATGAATAAACATCCTATTACACTATAATAAATATAAAGTTGCAGGATCGCGGTTTCCTTACTCATTTTAAATGATTTAAATGCATAATTATTGTTTTAATCTTAAAATAAAATTAATTTTAAATCACGATTTTACGCCCGAATTTGCCTGTTTATTCTTGAAAAATAGAGGCTTTAGTCATAATTGTGGCTCATATAATTTAAATAAATAAATGCTAGTTAGTATTTATTTTAATTATTTTATAGTAAAAACAATGATAATATTTATTTAAATAATTGTTTATATATTTATTGAACAAATACGAAAGTTAATAATATTAACAATTTGTTAATAAATTACAGAAAAACTTAATGTCATTTTAATTTGGTATACATGAAATCAAACAGACACTTATTTGCATGCGTACATAATATGTCAACAAGTCGATTTAATTCTGGATTATGACTCAGATAAATACGCCAACTGTCGATCGTGGAGAGCAATCTTCCCGTGTTTGGACGAAAAGAATATTCTGTTTGTATCATTTGTATAATATTTTGTCTCATTTGCTCGCAGTATTCATCTGTCTGATTGTTCCTGTTCACATTTATTGTAAATAAAAATAAAATTTATATTTTCACATTGGTATATAATTTAACAGAATTAACAACAATAAACAGTGTGAGTAATAATACTCGTCACAGTTTTTTGAATTAAATAAGATTAAGATTACTCACCAGTCAATTCCCAATAGCTTAGCTGTCAGTAATCCCAGACTATATACATCGCTACAGCGCTTATAACGGCCATACTCCGATTCTGGGGCCATACAAGAGGGTGTGCCCACACCCGGCGGTCCCTCCACCGTACTACCAATTTTGCCCGTCCAACACATAACGCTTAGCCCCAGGTCACAATATTTACAAAATATGCCACTGCCTGCCTTCGGGTCGAACAGAATATTTTTGGCTTTTAAGTCACGGTGTATGTACGGGGGCTGACGAGTGTGCAGGTAATTCAGCCCATGGAGCAGCTCAATGAACATCTCACAACCAATGTAACGCCTGACTCGGCATGCGAGACTTATATCTAAATTTACCGATGGGCTATCAAAAGTGTTATTCATAATTTCTATTATTTGCTCTAGGTTGTACTGAATATATTCCATCTTGATAAACGCATTCTTGTTATGGACCCAGTGCCCAATCAATTTTACCACGTACTTGCTGTTCAATTGACGCAGTGTTTCGATCTCGGTCATATAGTTTTCTGTGCAAATTCAAATACTGATGAATCTTTATTTAATATTTTCGTAATTATTCGTACCTCTTACTTTAACAATTTTAATAGCGCACCATGTATTGTCTAAGTTATTAAGTACCCTATATACATAACCATATGAACCTTGACTAATTTTTTCTATGTTAGTAAATATGGTACCTTTATCACCCCAACCATTATTATTACAAATTGTTGTCGGATCGATAAAACAAAAATTGTTTTCTAAACTAAATTGTTCATTTAGTGAGAAATGTAACATATTGGTTACAATTGGTTTCGATTGTATATTAATCGATTCATTGGTATAGTGGTTATTATTACTAATATTTTCCAAAGAATCATATTCTACCCCCATTATATTATAAGTTAGCGGGATAGGGACTATATTGAGAATGGGAGTCCACAATTTTAATTTTATTTTTCCTACTCCCCATTTGCATAGTTTAAACATAATTATCATGCTTAATATGGCCAATGATATATAATTAACAGTTGATGATTTCCAAAATGTTTTGCTTTTGTCTGGAAATCCATCATGAATACAATAGGAATTATTGGATTGATAAAGTGAGCAAGCTGTTGCAATGCCTATTGAAACATTGGACGGATTACTTTTAGTTAACATCATCTTATTCCATCTGATACAGGCACTCTGTAATAACATGATAAAATTAAATAAAGATTTTGTTAATTTAAAAAACAGTTATATTATTTTCAGCATGGCATTTTCACTATTACTCTTAAACAATAAAAGATAATTTTATTCTGTTTATTTTAGAATGCCATGTACGCAAAATCGAATATATAGCCTATCAATATATTTTAGTCACATAGTATGCAAAATATGAGACAATTCTGAATCATAATGTCTAATTATAAGAAATATAAAGATAGCATCGCTGCGTGATTCGTGTATTGAGATAATATTCTCATTTCCAAGGTGGGAGTTGGTCACCCTAAGGTCGAAGTCGTCGAATGACAGTATAATTTACATGCTTATTAAAGCAAAGCCTATTAATGTTGTGGTAAATATGTAAAATCATTAAGTAACCTCAACGTCCAATAGTTTACAACAGATTTATTAGCAAAATCATGTATAACTATTTTCTTTATTGTTACACAGAATATTGTTACAAAATTTTACTATTAAATTAAAATATGAACTAGTAATATTACCTCGATGCATCTATATTGGCATTGGAATTTAATCCAAAATTGGCATACAGTTATTGTTATTTTATATATATCCATTTTAGATTTATTATTGTAAGCAAAATCACATCTTTTAGCATTTTCACAATTTTCAACATTACATTTTGCAGCATCCATTACAATAATTAAATATACAATTATAATAAGATTTAATGCCATGATTAAATAGAATGTAAATATGTTTAATTACGCTCGTACATTATTAATATTAAATATAAATAAGACAAATGGCTATAATATAATATGTTATTATAAGATTATAATAGTTATGGAAATTATCTTCAATTATCTCGTTTTATTTATTAAGCATAATGAAATATATAAAATGTTTTTACTTTGGTTATTATTTTTAGTGAATTGAAATTGAATTTTTTATGTTTTATTTTTATTAATAAATTATATGTGAAAATACAATTAAATACAAATAAAACTTTAAATATCAAACCATAGCTAAAAGTTGTCCGGAATGTAAAAAGTGCAGAACGATTCTATAAACCACATTATTCATACTGAATTGTGGTTAATAAACACAACAGCACTTCGGCCACCATCTTTTCGATGGCCTGTTGACAGTGCCAGCCCTCGATTGCCATTAACAGGTACAGGTAACTATATTTACCCTGATTATTCAACACCTCAGACCGAACTGAATAAACTTTGTTGACAAATGTTGCATCTTTGATGGCCTTTGTTAAACGCCAGCTAAAGTGGATCAGTGGTCATACATCTACTCCACAGTGCCTCTCGCTATACCCGTACAGTAAAAATTACTATGTTGAAATTATAGCTCTCTCTCTCTCTTTCTCTCTCTCTCTCTCACTCACTCACTGATTGTATAAAAATCTCTAGTAAATCAGAATAGCGCTAAAAAAATAATAACGGGGTAAAAATGCAACAGACCGTATCGATAGACCCCCATAACATAATGTTGTAAGTACTAACAATTATTAGTACCGACAAAAAACAATTTATGGCCGTAAAGTCAATACCCAATTACTACATGTTATGGCCGCTCAACGAGAGAGCGAGAGCGAGAGAGAGAGAGAGAGAGAGAGAGAGAGAGAGAGAGAGAGAGNAAATAGTAAAAGAGTGCAATTTTATATACTTTTTCACTCTATTTTGTTAGAGATATTTTGTGCAACAAAATAATATCACAATAAATACAATGAGAGAGAGAGAGAGAGAGAGAGAGAGATTCGGGGCATTATGTATTATGTTCATTATAATGGCAGTAGTGGTAAAAAAGGACAAGTAAATCAAATCATGGTGTTTGCAAGAGAGCACACAATATACACCATATAATACAGAGTAGACAATAAAATTGTTGTACACTATGTGAATGATACAGTTATATGTGACATGAATTGTCAAATACAGTGCAATTAAATACTATATTTGCGGTTATAATGATTATAATGAATCAGTTGTAGTTATTTTTGTTTAAATTTTTTTATATCAATTTATGAACCAAACGATAAACTGTTTTATTGTAGTTAAGTTTGGATATAATTAATTTCCGTACAAAAAATACAAGTTTTATTTCAATACCAAACCATAATTATATTAACTTTAAGCAGAATTTTTCAAAACACAAAAAAATACCCCAAAATATCACAACATATTATTCCCAATAATAAATACACAGAAATAGTGAAATAATTAGTCACAGATATACTGTATTAGTGTTGGACGCGGCGGTGGGCGCTGTTAAGAATGGGCAGAATCTAGAACTTTCGGACCTACTCAACGCTGGCTACAAATCGCGGCCACTGGTGGTGAAACGGGCTATCCTTGTGGTCTTTTCACTGAAAGCCAAGTGCGTAAAACATCTACTCCCGGCCCTTCTCGAGCCCCTCGTATGACGAGCGAGTCGGGTGCTCGATCAACTACGCGAGCTCGAGATCAACGGTGACATATAGTGTTATCCGGTGGTACAAGTGATACGCTTTCAGAGCCTTCACCTACAGACCCATTTTCACAACGTGTTACGCCCGTTTGAAAGCCCGGCGGTCTCGGGCCAAGTGCTCGCTTCGGGCGCCGGTCACCACCATTTTGCCCGACTTGAACATCAGCGAAGTGGTGCGCGGCTTACGTATTCGCACTATTATTGCGTTCAGCCTTTTGGGATTGTACTCGCTGTTTAAACATAACTTGGCTATTTGCTTCAAATCCAGCTCCCGGCCCATATCCACACTCGACACCACGTTCTGTAGCACCAGATCCATGCCCTCCACGCCGTTGATTGCTTTAATGAGTGTACACGACATCTCATCACCACTCGTGTCCATTGCGGCCACTGGTTCTGCGGTAGTCGTCAAGTGTGGCAATGGATGAACCGATGGTTTTGGTGTCTTATCCTCTTCTGCATCACCACTACTATCGGAGTCAGAGTCCGAAAGCTGTGAACCCGATGTTAGCAATTGACGGCCAACAGCAGTACAGTTGATGCGCTCGAGCTCTAGTTGCCACTGTATATCACAATAGGCCACCATGTTCACTATGCGAAAGTCTCGGAAGTGGATGTCTGGGTAAAAGTGTTGCACAATGCGGGCAAACTTTCGGGCCGCCACTCGGGCCAAGTGCTCGCTTCGGGCGCCGGTCACCACCATTTTGCCCGACTTGAACATCAGCGAAGTGGTGCGCGGCTTACGTATACGCACTATCATTGCGTTCAGCCTTTTGGGATTGTACTCGCTGTTCAAACATAGCTTGGTTATTTGCTTCAAATCCAGCTCCCGGCCCATATCCACACTCGACACCACGTTCTGTAGCACCAGATCCATGCCCTCCACGCCGTTGATCGCTTTAATGAGTGTACACGACATCTCCTCACCACTCGTGTCCATTGCGGTCACCGGTTCTGCGGTAGTTGTCAAGTGTGGCAATGGATGAACCGATGGTTTTGGTGTCTTATCCTCTTCTGCATCACCACTACTATCGGAGTCAGAGTCCGAAAGCTGTGAACCCGATGTTAGCAATTGACGGCCAACAGCAGTACTGCCGGCGTCCGACTCATTGTTGATTAGTTCCTGTGTTATATTATTATCCATTTTTTGTATTCATTAGAAATGGTTATATACTAATAGATAGGCGTTTGAATTAAGCATTAAACAATCCCCTTGCTTAAATACTTAAATATGGCTGAATTTAAATAGTGAACCCATTATGCTCCACGTAAGTGTAGTTATACATTGAGTTTTACTCATGGAAATTTTATTATGGTTCCTTTTATCTCTGATTGGTTTATAACCAAGTTTAGTCAGATTTTTTAGCTCGAGTCAAGTATTAAAAACAATTGAATTGAATGAATAGTGATTAAAAATATTTATTAGAAATTTAGTGAAATTACAGTAAGAGATGAAATAAAAAATTCAATAAAACCTTATTATATAACTATAGTATCAAATATTGGAGACTTCTCTAATTAAACTAATTTTTGTCTAAATTGTTGTACAATACCATTGACTGCCGTTTGTGTTGTGTTTTTTGTGTTAATATAATTAATTAATTAACTAATGGCTCAATACTTGTATAGAGTCTACAAAAGAAAGTTCGAGTATTTTATCTCTCTCTCCCACTAGTCTTCCCATTGAATAGTTTGGGATTATATTTATAACTGAAACAATATATTCAATTCGTGATTACAGTACAGTTGTGTTGATTATATTAATTCATTAAATGCCAGTAATATTCTCATAGGATTCTTAGTTTATTAAATATTTTTTGAATTTCTAATCATTCTATGGCGAGAGCAATAGTTTTCATATAAAATGACATATATATTTTAGTTATACAGTAGATTCTAGAAAATTATTGCTAATTAAAGTTGTATTTTTCATTTATAACAAACCCATCATTTAGCACCATCACAAAACCTTGTAATTAATCAAATAAATAATTTATATAAATCTTTCTCAAATCAAGTATAGAAATTCAGCACAAAAAATTGCTATCAATTATTATCGATTTGTAATTCACATACATTTATCAAGAAAAATAATTAAACAAAGTTTCTACTTGCTCACTTTAATAGAAACAAATAATAATGATTTTGCAGAGTTTTGGTAGCCATATTCTTTATAGGCAACAATTTTAATACAGTTATGTATTATTAAACTGTTTACTAAAAAGTTATTTAAATATTTCAGTTTAAGACATCATTAAATAACAAATTAAGATCTTTAGGAAATTTAAATCAAAAAACCTCTCATTTTATTCATTAGTGTTTATAATGAAAATATTAAGTTTTTATGTAATAAATTAATGAAGAATTTGTTAGTTTTCAGTTAAAGCAGCAAACCATCACTTTCTCGCATACACTCCCACTCTTAACCTTTCAAAATAAATTAATTTTGATACAAAAAACCTCAGATCTTCCCAACAATATATTAAAATCTAATTAATGTTAATTAAAATAGTGAGAGAGAGAGAGAGAGATGAATTTGTTCATTTAAACTTTAAGGCATTGACACAAATATTTGCGTCGATCACTGTATAAATATAGTCTGAACTTAGAGAGAGAGAGAGAGAGAGAGAGAGAGAGAGAGAAGTATACCAGAAAATGGTTGATATAAAAAAAAAGATATATTAAACAAAGTAAGTGAAAACTTAAAGCGTTGCGCAATTCATGTACTGTATTGTCGCCAACGGGTCTTTGAATGCACTATATTTTCTTTGATTGTCTTTGATATTTGCGTTGAAATTAATTTACATTCAATACAACAATAACATGATATGAAACTACGAGTTCAATCATATCATGCAATCATATTTTGGGGCAAACAGAATACTGAGTGCAAAATATGATATTGTATAATATTTGTGTCTTGTGTTTCGGCAATACATGTTTGTGCCTCCAGTATATTCACATTTATTTATACAGTACTCTATGCTTATTGGCTCTCGTTCACCGGCTTTCCATTCTTTAATACTATTGTATATTTAAAACTATAATTCAAAAAAGTTAATTATATCATAATTAAAATAATAACTAAGCTCATACAATTGTGCTAGGTGATGGACCCGATGTCCTTTGGAACACATTCACAACATTTGTGAATACCTCTTATCATAGGTCCATTCACTTCCATCATAATTCAAATTCATTGTGTTAACTGAGATCACAATGGTTTGTGTCGGTCAACACCTATTACTACTATTTCAAAACCCGAGCACAATTGTCTGAATTTTGAGCTGAATAATAACATTTATAGCAACAATTAATATACAGTATGACATCACAATATGTGATTTCTATAAATGTCAAAGAGTTTACAATAAAACCGATTCTGTGAACGTATTGAGTGATAGTGTAAATAAAATTGCCTTAAAATAATCAAATACAGTATATTTTAAAATTTAACTTTCCGTTCGTTAAATAGATTTGACGTAAATTTCGTGAAAAATATTTCATATCTTAGCCAAAGAGGACGTAGAGAGAGAGAGAGAGAGAGAGAGAGAGAGAGAGAGAGAGAGGTGAATTTGTTCATTTAAACTTTAAGGCATTGACACAAATATTTGCGTCGATCACTGTATAAATATAGTCTGAACTTAATGTTTACTTTTGCTCTCTAAATGTTAGACTCGAAACACCTTAAGAGAAATGTTAATTTTGATAACATTTGAAACTATGATTATATTTGTAGAGACAAACAAACGCCAGAATACTCTGGTATTATATATCCATTGGCAGAATAGGTAATCATAACACCGGGTTATCATATAAATAAATACACAATGGATTACATACGTCATCCTTATTCACACAATCTCTCTCTCTCTCTCTCTCTCTCTCTCTCTCATTTTATATTATTATTTTTCTATAAATACAAACTCTATACGAATAATATAAACTGCAATCTACTTATTTAGGCTCAAGAATGTAATTGTAATACAGTTTTAAAATATTTTGATATAATTTGTTATAATTTTAATAATTCAAGAATAAGTAAACAATTTATGTTAAAAATATGTGCCTTTTATAATGGTATTTAATCCAAACACAGTGTTTGTTACGCGAGTACTTAAATCTCAAATAGACATTCTTTAAATATTTATAGTTAATTAAACGATCAATAAATGCTCATAATATTAAATTATTACAATAAAGGTTACTGTCATTATGAGCAAATACACTAGCAAATTCAATGTAATATCAATACAATAGTAAATTAATACTGAATTAATACAAAGCAATAAATTTAAAATAATAACAACTGATATAAGCCTTACAATCAGTTGTCAACCCAGACATTAGACAAACATTATATTTTGAATGAATTTTCTTAATGTTTGTATATTGTGTGTGTGTTTGAGAGAGAGAGAGAGAGAGAGAGTATAGGAAATCAATGAATAGGTATAGCTGTCTAGAATTATAAGATATATATAAATATCCATAAGAATTGGGTGAAGACTTAGGCCAGAATTATGTTGTTATCCAAGCGATCAATTGCAGACATTTGCCGTCAAATTGAATTAGAGTGTGCTTTATGTCTATGGATGTGTACATCCATGTTATATATCCCTATTGTTATGTTTATACACTGTTTATACATCTAAATACCATCGCTTATTATTTATTAAAATAAAGTGTTTATTATGTGTGGTATAAGAATCACACAATCCTTACGTCAATTCTCTTAGTGTTTGATTCCCATCACTAATTCATTGGCATTTAATCCATAAGACATACAAACGACACGATCTCGTTATATATGATATATTTTTTCAAGCAATAATTTTTGATATATTATTTAAGCCATATTTCAAAATATATTTAATCAAAGATTTATATAAAATTTTTAAACAATATTTTAAAATCAACGATAAATATTTTTAGATGTGGTTTATGTACATTATATATTGTCTAAAAATGACATCTTATAAATAATAACATCATAACATAAAAGTACGTAACTTTAAATGTTACATTTTTTAAAGATATAATTTTAGTTTTTATTACATTTATATCTAAACATGGTATAAAACGTTTTGATTATTGATTATTATTTTTAAGTATTATTATTAAACGAGTGCTTTAATGTATTACATCGACAACCAATAATCCCATACAAAACTCGCAGACATCCATCACATCCATACAAAATATTTGATCATTGATTTCTCGATCACATCTAAAGCGATAATATATTATAAAACAACACTTAATATATCGCCGTTTCTTGGGTTAAGTGACAAATAAAAATCGGCCAAAAAATGTGCTGATTATCAGAAAAAACCTGCAGATCTTAACAATAGTTGGCATCGTTTATAGTATTTCTTATTGATTCGTGATATAAATTTTTTATATACATATATATATAATACACTATATTTCTATATAAATTTTTCGATTCTCGAGTTTGTCTCCAGAAAAAACTTAATAAATCATTTTTACCATCATTGGTTGTGTGCTTATGTGATTTTGTTCACTTTTTGGTGGGGCACAAACATGCCATAAGCCATACTTGTGCCCCCATTTGGCAGATCTACTATTTTTGACACTTGTCTTAAAGACGGTGACAGCAGAGGCAGCAAAAATCATGGCATATGTGTCCCAAAAAATTCAAATAATGATTTTCACTTAAAGACTCGGTTTTTATCGTCAGAATTGGGAAAATAAATTGTTAAATCAATTTTCAATCATTTTTTTGCTGTTGCTTTTGTCTCTAACGTGCACTTAATGTTTAAACATAGCAATCAAACGATGCTTTATATGACGATTAGAGTAATTTGTTTTGAATAAATAAAATATACAAAAGAAAATCATATATTGTATTAAATGATGGCAATAATAATAATTTTCATCGCATGTTATAATGATTATTATGGGCTATAAATCGATTCGAGAATCTATGTTCAAGTTTTTTGTTTGCTTTCACATAATCTGTTGCTTTAAATCTAGTTCTGATATAGAGTGCCATTAATGTAGTGTTAATGGCAGTGAAAATATATAATGACATTCAAACTACACATAGGAAATTCACTCTTATCTCTCTCTCTCTCTCTCTCTCTGAATTCATTGAATCTCTATCTACGCCTAACTATTAGACAATTTCGATGCATTAGTAATGAATTGTTGTATACTTTATTCAATTAATAGCCATAAAATTGTTGTACACTATGTGAATGATACAGTTATATGTGACATGAATTGTCAAATACAGTGCAATTAAATACTATATTTGCGGTTATAATGATTATAATGAATCAGTTGTAGTTATTTTTGTTTAGATTTTTTTGGATCAATTTATGAACCAAACGATAAACTGTTTTATTGTAGTTAAGTTTGGATATAATTAATTTCCGTACAAAAATATAAGTTTTATTTTGAAACCAAACCAATAATTATTTTAACTTTAAGCAGAATTTTTCAAAACACAAAAAATACCTTAAAATATCACAACATATTATTCCCAATAATAAATACACAGAAATAGTGAAATAATTAGTCACAGATATACTGTATTAGTGTTGGACGCGGCGGTGGGCGCTGTTCAGAATGGGCAGAATCCTCTTGAAAGCCTGGATGAGTTGCGACCGATGTTTAGCGCCGGTGACCACCACTTTGCCCGATAGGAACACCAGAAAAGTGACTTTCGGTTCACGCATTTTGTAGATGAGGGCCGGGAAGAGCTCGGG